GGACGGGGAAGGTTGGCGATGCGTCGGCGTTCCGGGTCTGGGGATCTCGGGCGTTTGTTCGCGACCTGTCTGCGGACAAGCTATCCCCTCGTGCTTCTCCCTGCGTCTTCCTGGGGTTCCCCCCCGACGCCCCTGGGTGGCAGTTTTACCACCCCACCTCTCGACGTGTTCTGTCCTCCCAGGACGTCACGTTCGACGAGTCGGTACCCTACTACCGCCTCTTCCCCTACCGCACTCCGTCCCTCCCCCCACCCCCGCTCTTCTTGGTACCAGGTCCCCCCCCGGTAGTCCCCCTCCCCCCTCAGGGTCCTGCCCCTTCAGGTGTGTCCCAGGTAGACGCGGTCGAGCCTGTCGAGGTCACTGGTGACTCTGGTGCTGCTGCGGGAGCTGAGCCTGGGGGTGCGGAGTCTGGGGGTGCTGAGCCTGGAGGTGCCGAGCCTGGGGGTGCTGAGCCTGGGGGTGCTGTGCCTGGGGGTGCTGAGTCTGGAGGTGCCGAGTCTGGGGGTGCTGTGCCTGGGGGTGCTGAGCCTGGGGGTGCTGAGCCTGGGGTTGCTGAGCCTGAGGGTGCTGAGCCTGGGGGTGACGTGCCTGGGGGTGCTGTGTCTAGGGGTGCTGAGCCTGGAGGTGCTGTGCCTGGGGGTGCTTCGTCTCGCCGGGAGCCACTCTCCCCACACGAGCTGCGTGAGTGGTTTGCCGGGCGCTGGAGGCGTGCTGCTGGTGCTGGTGGTTCTTCGGCTGCAGAGGGTACTGCTGCTGCGCGCCCCGCCGGCGCTCGTACTGTGGGTGCTGGAGCTGCTGAGCCTGCGGGTTCTCCTGGAGCTGGTCCTGCTGAGGGTGTTGGTGCTGAGCCTGCCGTTGGCGGCCCGACTGACAGTGCTCCTGGTGCTGCGGCTGGAGGTTCTGGAGCTTCTGGTGGTGCTGCTGGAGGTGCTACTGGAGTGGGTGCTCCTGCCGGGGCTGCTGGTGCTGTTCCTGCTGTTTCTAGCGTCGCCGCGCGGCCCCGACCGTACTTCGTTCCGCTCCTGCAGCAGGTTCTTGGTCTTACACCTCCTCCTCCTCCCTTAGAGGGTCCGCAGCCTGTCCGGTCACAGCCACAGCTACAGCCTGCCTCCCCTTTGCCTGCTCCTCCTCCCTACGCTGGTCCGACTGGAGGTCTTACTGAGCGTCGTGAGCCTGCGTCTCGTCCTGTGTCGCCTGTTCGTACTGAGCGCGCTAGTGGTCGCGGGTCGCGTCAGCGTCCTCCTCCTGTCCCTGGCACGCACCGGATGTCACTGCGTCCGTCCACTGCTCCTCTGCGTGCCCCTTTGCCTTCTCCTCCTGCTTCCTCTCTTCCTGCTCTTGCCGACCCGGAGTCGGACTCTCTTCGTGCTGCCAGTCCTACTGTCACGCGTCTCCTTGCTACTGCTGTCACTGACCCTTCCTTCGAGTCGTCTGCTGCGTCTGCCCTTGTCACTGAGCTTGTCGACTTTGCTGCGCGCTGTCGTCTAGACTACGCTGCTCGTCTTGTCACTGAGTCTGAGTCCGCCTGTCCTCCGTCCGTCGGGGGTGAGTGTGCCCTTGGCACGGACGTCCTTGAGGACAGGCAGGAGGAGTTCCAGTGTCTGGCCGCCGCTTCACCTCGTCTCGCGTCTGTACTGCTAGCCCCTGAGGGAGACCCGGATGCACCAGACATCCCGACTCCGCGCTCTTACGCGGAGGCGATAGAGGGTCCCTACTCCTCTCAGTGGCAGGCAGCTATGGATGCAGAGATGGCTTCCTGGAAGTCCACAGGCACCTACGTTGACGCTGTTCCCCCTCCTGGGGCGAACATCGTCAGTGGCATGTGGATTTTCAGGGTGAAGCGGCCGCCGGGTTCTCCGCCTGTCTTCAAGGCGCGTTACGTGGCTCGTGGCTTCAGTCAGCGGCAGGGGGTTGACTACTTTCAGACCTTCTCCCCCACCCCGAAGATGACCACTCTTCGGGTTCTGCTACACGTTGCTGCTCACCGTGACTACGAGCTGCACTCTCTCGACTTCAGCACAGCTTTCTTGCAGGGCAGCCTGCACGAGGAGATCTGGCTGCGTCGCCCACCTGGCTTCACTGGGTCTTTCCCTCCTGGTACCCAGTGGAGTCTCCGGCGTCCAGTCTACGGTCTCCGCCAGGCGCCACGTGAGTGGCACGACACACTGAGGACTACGCTCGCGGCACTTGGGTTTGCTCCTTCCACTGCCGACCCGTCGCTGTTTCTGCGCACCGACACCTCTCTGCCGCCGTTCTACATCCTCGTGTACGTCGACGACTTGGTCTTTGCCACAGCTGACACTGCTGGACTCGCCTACGTGAAGTCCGAGCTGCAGAAGAGACACACGTGCACTGACCTGGGTGAACTGCGCAGCTACCTTGGCTTGCAGATCACCCGGGACAGAGCACGCCGCACCATTACCCTGACTCAGTCACACATGGTGCAGCAGGTCCTTCAGCGCTTCGGCTTCACGTACTCCTCGCCTCAGGCCACTCCTCTGCCTACTCGCCACTCGCTCTCAGCTCTGCCTTCGGATGAGTCCGTAGAGTCGAGTGGCCCGTTTGCAGAGCTTGTTGGCTGCCTCATGTACCTGATGACCTGCACACGACCTGACCTCGCATACCCTCTTAGCATTCTCGCACGCTTTGTTGCTCCTGGGAGACACCGACCAGAGCACATGGCTGCAGCGAAGAGGGTGTTGCGCTACTTGTGCAGTACGTCGGGCATGGGGCTAGTGCTTGGAGGGCGCAGTCCAGTGGTCCTCACTGGGCACGCAGACGCTTCTTGGGCTGACGACCAGGCTACGCAGCGGTCGTCACAGGGTTACACCTTCAGCCTTGGTTCCGGCTCTGTCTCGTGGCGGGCTACCCGCTCGTCTTCTGTTCTCGGCTCCAGTTGTGAGGCTGAGATCTACGCTGGGGCTATGGCTGCACAGGAGTTACGCTGGCTCACCTACCTGCTGACCGACCTTGGAGAGCAGCCTCGTTCTCCTCCAGTCCTGTACGTAGACAACAAGGCCATGCTGGCCTTGTGTCGAGAGCAGCGACTGGAGCACAGAACGAAGCACATTGCTCTTCGTTACTTTCTTGCTCGTGAGCTACAGCAGCGTGGACAGCTGCGACTTGCGTACGTGGCCTCTGAGGCCAACACTGCTGATGTCTTCACCAAGGCACTTGCGCCTTGTGATCATCAGCGTTGCTGCACGCAGTTGGGTCTTGTGCCTGTCTTGCCTCACTTGCTCTCCTCTTGACCTTGCTTGTACTTTCGCATATATATACTCTTGTTCTTGTATATCTCTATATATGATCTTGCATGTGAACTGGCCTTGTGGCCTCTGAACTTGTGCTCGGAATGCGTGGTGACTTTGTGATCCACCCTGAGCTTTGCTTTGCTTTGCTTGACTGGTCTTGTGACCCCTTGTTCTCCCCCACTTTGCCTATGGGGGTGTGTCAGAACTTATAGCTTACTTGTTTCTGTAGGCTATAGTGGGGTATCCCATAGGGGGTACAACCCAATTAGGGTTTCCTATTTGTACTCACTTCGTTCATAGTCATTTCATTCTCGTTCTTTGTTTCCACATGTAGGACTGGATTATTTCGCCCTCGGTAATGTCGGGAATGCGATTACAAAATTCCTCCATCTGCTGCGTGTATTGCGCGACACTCCCGAATTGCCTATGGTGATGTAATTTTTCGCGCGCAATATAAGTGGAATTAATAGGCTCAAAACGTTTGAGAAGGTCTGCCTGGAACTGCTGCCACGTGGCTTCGCCTTGGAAAATGCTACTGTTGCTTCCGAGCCACTCGAGAGCTGGACCGCGCATCAACGTTGTCGCGAGACGAATTTTCTCGCCGTCGTACTCCGTCGTCGACCATCCGATCGCCGCGAAATAAATTTCCATCGTCGCGAGCCACCGCCTGACGTCGGATTTTCGATAGCTAGGGTCGAACGATTCCGGCGAGCGAAGTTTCGGAACCTCGACTGACGCTGCGACTGCTGCGAAGTCGTCGAAGCAGGAATGTTCATGGTCGAGAGGAGCTGCGTAACGCGCTGTAGTTCGTTTCGCAGCTGCTCGTTCTCGAATCGCGACCGTTCAGTCGTCGCTCGCATCTCCGCTTCCATCTCGGCGATTTGCGCGAAGAGCTGCTGCGTAACGTCGTTGGTCGCCGGCAAACCCATCCTGTTCAGAAACCACGCGAGGGGGTTAATTCGAAAAGCGCGGAACTGGTGCTTACCAGAAATCGGCGTCGAATTGGTCGCCCCCGGCGGTTTTTCGAGGCGATTTTTTCCGCGACCGCTGCTTAGCCGAGAGTCGTCGAGTGAGAATGGCTCTGATTACCAAGTGTCACAGGATCGAATTCTCAATCGAAACTTGTCACTAAAACTGAATACAAGGCATTTTTATACTCAGAAAATACAAGGATAAACGAGATCAAACGAGCCTTCGGGAACACGCCCTTCCCGATACTACAATCACAAGTGCGCATAAGCACGCAAGGCTATTGGCATTTGAGATTACGCCCAGATTACACCGTATACACCACTGTCGGCGCTGTCGGTGCCGTATAATAGGTATGTTGGTGGGAAAAGTAGGAAATAAGAGAAATAAATAGAAGGCTCTAGAAAATAGAATAGTAGGCCGATTGAGATGAGATAAAGACCAAAATAAAGAGGAGAAAAGGGAGAATAGGATAACGGAAAAATATAATATTGAGAAAATATTATAACGGGGACGTCCTCTCACACCGATGCTTCGCCGCGCGCAGCGTCAACTGCCCCGTGTTTTCGGGAAGGGCGAGTCCGGCCCCCCTCCTTCCCTGTACCACTCACCCGTCTGCCACGCCCGCCCCGTCCCTTCACTGGCGCCACATCCTCCTCCTCCTCCTCCTCCTCCTCCTCCTCCTCCTCCTCCTCCTCCTCCTCCTCCTCCTCCTCTGCCTCCTCCTCCTCCTCCTCCACATCCTCCTCCTCGTCACCCTGCTCCTTCCTCCTCCTCCTCCTACTCCTCCTCCTCCTTTGCCTCCTCCTCCTCCTCCTCCTCCTCCTCCTCCTCCTCCTCCTCCTCCTCCTCCTCCTCCTCCTTTGCCTCCTCCTCCTCCTCCTCCTCCTCCTCCTCTGCCTCCTCCTCCTCCTCCTCCTCCTCCTCCTCCTCCTCCTCCTCCTCCTCCTCCTCCTCCTCCTCCTCCTCATCCTCCTCCTCCTCCTCCCCCTCCTCATCGTCCTCCCTGCCATCATTCTCATCTTTTTCATCCTCCCCAACATCCGCGTCATCCTCCTCCACTTCCTCTTCATCCTCCTCTCCCTCCGCATCCTCCTCATCCTCCTCCTCCTCCGCATCACTGGGGTCTTCATCGCCCTGTTTCGGCTTTGTTCCCATCGCTTCTTTCTTGCCTCTCCTTCCGCCGGATGCTTTTCTTGCTGCGGGTCGGCCCTTTTGGCGCAATGCTTGACCACCTGCCTTGCCACTAGCTTCCTTGGCGCCTCGCGGTGTCCCAACTGCCGCGCCTCCGGCGTCGTTAGCACTACTTGTCATCTGCCACCTCTTCGCCCGCGTAACGAGGTCCCCGGGCACGGCGGTGTCATAATCGTCCTCCCCATCGCTCTTCCTCTGCCTACGCCTCCCCCGTCCACCAGAAGGTGGAGAGCCACCGACCAGCCCCACCGACTCGTGCTCCCCCACCTTGTCCTTATCCAGCACAGCTGTAGAAACTTCGACCACGGTCGGCTGGAGCAGCGTCAGATGGTGTTGCGTTGCCGCCGCCTTGGACTCCTTGGTTGCGGCATGCTTGGCGCGGGGATCGCCTCCGTGATTTCCCTCCGTCACCGATCCCTCCATCTCCGCCGACGGGAGTGCAAGACTCGCGCTCCCTCGCCCCGGATCTTCGTTGCCGCCAGTGGTGCCGTCTTTACTTGGACCGGGCTCGGTTCCAGCAGAGGCAACATCCGCATCTTTGTTCACTGTAGAAACACGCTTGCGTGGCGTTGGTTTAGGCCCCTTGTCTTCCGCTTTCTTGCCGGCCTCCTGTTGACCGCGCGCGACCTTTTTTGCCGCCACTTTTTTCTGCCCAATGCCACGAGCGACGGACGCATTAGTTTTTTTAGCGCCGCCACCACACTCCCTATCGATTTGTTTAGACGTCCTCCTTGTCGCGCGGCGGCCGGCTTGTTCCTCCTCCATTGCTTGGTTACGTGTTGCACGTGTCATGGTAATTGTAGGAGAAGCAAAGTTGCAAATCGCGCGGAAGGGTTGAGCCGGTTTTGAAAGGGTTCTGCAACTGAATCCCACGATGGGATTATCGACGGTCTATCACTGTTATGTGTTTCCGAAAACCGCCGCTTCAACTAAATCTGTCATAGTAGCCACTATGCTTCGCGCTAAGGCCGATCTGGAGAGGCGTGTGTCAAGGCAACGAGCAGCGTCAAAGTGTTGGTCCAGGGAGTGACGGAAGCAGGTGGGTGGGACACGAGGGTGGTTGGGGTGGGTTGCGAGACTAGAGAGAGTAATGTAACCCTATCAGGCTATATTGGACGGTGTACGTGTAGCCACCCTAGCATAAATCCACCTACCGCTCGATCTCAGCCGCTCAATGGCTCAAGTACCTCTTGGCTGATGACTGTGTTGCCGGGGGAATCGTTTGAGATGCGTCGGCCAATCACGGTTGCCAACGCATAAATCACTAGATTTTATTCAAACATACAACAATGCATTCCATCAAACTCTAAGTTGCAAATGGTTTACCACGGGGTTGGGGTAAGTCAATCGGTGATTCTTACGTCACACACACAACGACCGTCCAAAATTATTACTTGTGACAAATGTACTGTGCACTTTTAGGCTTTGCCACAATGGTTTAGGGCCAGTGGACGACATTCTAACACGATTATCAATAGTAACAAACGTGAATCCGTTATGGTATGGTGTTGGATTGTCATCCATTCTTGCACATACATTAAACAAGGTGCTTAGAAGGAGTGGTATGAAGCACAGGCCCAACGCACAAGCGTAGATGCGTTATCGACAGCCATGGTTAGACTGTGCGACGATGCAGCGTTCAAGCCTACGGGTTGCGCGACATGGTGAATCCGTTGTGGTATGGTGTTGCATTGGCATCCATTCTTGCACAGACATTAAACAAGGTGCTTAGAGGGAGTTGTATGAAGCACAGGCTCAACGCACAAGCGTAGATGAGTTATCGACAGCCATGGATAGACTGTGCGATGATGCAGCGTTCAGGCCTGCGGGTTGCGCGACATGGTGAATCCGTTGCGGTATGGTGTTGCATTGGCATCCATTCTTGCACAGACATTAAACAAGGTGCTTAGATGGAGTTGTATGAAGCACAGGCCCATTGCACAAGCGTAGATGCGTTATCGACAGCCATGGTTAGACTGTGCGACGATGCAGCGTTCAGGCCTGCGGGTTGCGCGACATGGTGAATCCGTTGTGGTATGGTGTTGCATTGGCATCCATTCTTGCACAGACATTAAACAAGGTGCTTAGAAGGAGTGGTATGAAGCACAGGCCCAACGCACAAGCGTAGATGCGTTATCGACAGCCATGGTTAGACTGTGCGACGATGCAGCGTTCAGGCCTACGGGTTGCGCGACATGGTGAATCCGTTGTGGTATGGTGTTGCATTGGCATCCATTCTCGCACAGACATTAAACAAGGTGCTTAGAAGGAGTGGTATGAAGCACAGGCCCAACGCACAAGCGTAGATGCGTTATCGACAGCCATGGTTAGACTGTGCGACGATGCAGCGTTCAGGCCTGCGGGTTGTGCGACATGGTGAATCCGTTGTGGTATGGTGTTGCATTGTCATCCAACATTGCATGGACATTGAAACCGTTGTGTTATTGTACGACATTGTCATCCATTCTTGCATATTCATTCAGCACGGTGCGTAGAGGTACACTACACCTTGAGAGAAGACACGCTATAGGTATTCGCTCCACACAACAATCATACGTTAGGGCATGGAGTTATTGGGTACTTCTCGTATCGTTATCAAGTAAGGGTTGTTCAACATCAGTCCTAAGGATATGAATGTTTACTAGTTATGAATGACTTGAGTGTCTTGTTAAGTTGTAATTGTACATTTGCATTTCCATGATTGTTTGAAGCCTCTTGAGCTCACCTATGTGATTCTGTTTTCCCCCCTATATCGATTCGCAACACAATCACAGATCCAAACGGATCTCTTCCCGCTCTTCCTCATCCCCCTTGACTCTCACACACGGTTCCTAAACACAAGTTCTTGATTCAATAGGCACGTCCTTCTCACGGTGCTCGCGACGCACACACACGACTGTGAGACTTAAGATCCTCCGCATTCTCCTCTGCTCACGTCGTGGTCACTCTAAACGGGGGCGACACGCCTTGTAGTGAAGACGGCCCGTGAGGTGGGCAGTCTGTATCGTGCCTGGTAACGACCACGCGGCTTGACATCGTTAGCCACTCAGAAACATTAGCGCCAATGTCAAGTGCCAGTCGTGCAATGATACAAGCCGCCCAACACAGTGTGCGCATTGGCGATGATCGTGTAGCTGTCACAGGCTTCATGAACGGAGTACTTAATGCGTTCACAAGCTTCATCACGGCTAGTAGCTTCATAGGCGATTTCTCGACTCTACAACGGATCCGTAACACATGGGCTCTTTACCAGGCGTCGTCTGCGAGTTCTGCAACAGATGGTTCCCCAACGCCCAAGTTTATGGCGGTCACAAGTCACGGCGGACCCCTTGCCAAGGACTATCCGCCGTGGCAAGGCCGACGCGATCTGCACCGACCGCCGGTCTTCACGCTCTGCTATTCGTCCACGACATTCTGTCGGACGCTCCAGCCGCTCCCGGTTCACCTACAGCGTCTAACGCATCCAACGCCGTCAGTGTGAGCGGTCCTCCACGCGTGCGTGAAGCTCACGTTGACGAAACTCCCAACGACGTGAACGAGGGGCCTCCTGAAGATGAACATCAACAACAACCAGGAGCTCCTGCGGCTGACACGAGTGACCATCCTAAGAGCCGGCCCGAAGGGAGTCATGCCGCGCCGCCAACAATCATCTCCGGACAGAGCAACGCCACGCCCCTCAATCCGCTCGCGTTGAAGCTGCTGCATTTCGTTCGGCGCGTGAATGGCGGAATGGGAATGGCCGAGGTTGACATCAACGGCCTGCTTCAGCTAGTCGTAGAGCCCGGCCTTGCGCCTCTTGTGATCTCGGAGCTCCGGAACTGTAAGGATCTGGAGCGGTTCGAGATGGAGCGTTTGGCAGGGCTCAATCGCGGAAGGTCGCTGGCGACCTTTCGAGATTGACGGTCATCCACCACAGCGCTTGCTCTTTCAGAACTCAGCCCAGGTAAGCCGACTTTGCATTCAAGGCCGTGAAATGATGATGAGGCACACAGGGTTTGCATGTACGTAGTTATCCTTGTATTAACCGTACACCCACCTTCACCGCCACTAACCATGCCTCTCCTCTCACCTGCCTTCGCCACCGTACACCAGGCATTCGCTGAAATGTTTGGACATCCCAACAACGCGCCCGGCTTCAAGCTCAAGGCGCGTATTGATGAGGACCCTGACGCAGGCAGCCGCCGCTATACCTGTTGGTGCAATCCTACGGTCTGCACTCGGCTTGTTGTCCGTGTGCGTGCATGTGTGTGTGTATGGAATGGTATGAGGGCATGGGATACTATATATTTCATGCTTATAATTGTGTGTGAATTTTGAGTCATGATGTCGAGTGTCTGTGTCGAGTCAATAGCGAGTTATCGCTAGACGCGTGTTACGCGGCCGTTTGTGTCTCGCACGCGGTTTCTAATTTGTCGTGCGCGGTTTCTATTTTGTCCTGTGTCGAACGTTCGGCGTGTCGCATGTGTGTGTAGAAGACCCATCAAGAACTCAAGGATGAGTTTGTGATGAAGAGCCCGAGCCTTGGTGTCAAGCCTCAAGTGATTTCGAAGCTCGCCAAAAAGGGTGCACCTCAAGATATTGAAGATAGTTACATTACTTTGTGTAGTGTAACATTTCACTTGGTGTAGGCCCTAGTGAAGGGTAGTTTCGAGACCCTTCGTGGTTGGGGACAGTGTGGCACTGTTCCACATCACTGTACCTCGGCTCTTGGGGTTTGTAGGAGCTGGGAGTCATTCCCAACTCGTAACTCTTCCTAACTCTTCCTATCTTGTGTTCTAAGACTATGTTGTTGCCATAGTGCTGTTCGTTCAAACCAACGCTGTGTCGTCAATACTTGGTCAAATCGTGCGATCTATATTGCCTAGTGTAGGCAACAATAAGACGCTCCAGATCCAAGTTGAATCAAGTCATTTGAAGCTGTGACCAGACCGCTATGAACGTTTGAAGCCGCTGTGCAGAAATCCGACTATGCACTCTATATTTCGTTTTAGGCACATTGGAGCCTACTGTGACTACAACAAGTGGTATCAAAGCCCCTTGGAGCAGTTTCGACAATGGCTGGACCTGAGGAAAGGGGTGGCAGAGGTGCTGGTGGCAGTGGAGAAGCCCAAGCTCAAGGCCAACCCCGTGACTCAGCCATGGCGCCCGTGCAACCAAGTGTTGGCCCATCTAGGGATGAGCCTAGAGTGTTTGGCCTTGACAAGTTCAATGGTGACAACTTTGCTGAGTGGTCCTTCAGAATGGAGAACATATTTGACCACTATGACCTGCTGGAGGTAATGGAAGGAACGGAGAAGCGCCCCGAGAACGACCCGGAGAAGAGCTCGTGGGTGCGGAAGAGCGCACAAGGCTACCTCCTACTTGGGCAAGCGTTGGGGAGCAGCCAGATCCGTCACATCAAGCCATTCCAGCGTGAACCAGAGAAGGGACCAAAGGCATGGGCTGCTCTCAAGGGTGTACACGCTCCTGCAACAGCGGCGGTAGCTGTGGTCTTGGAACGGCAAATGGCGACACTACGAATTGAAGAGGATGAAGCGGTTGAAGAAGGGGTGCAGAAATTCTTCGACTTGTTGACGCGGCTTGAGGGAGCTGATTTGAACTATAGTGAGCTCCAAAAGAAGACCAAGTTGCTGGCCCTACTCCCTCAGTCATGGTCCTTGCTCATCATCAACCTTAATCGCGACTTGCCCCGCCTCTCGCTTGAAGACGTGAAGCGAGCTATCCTTAAAGAGGATTTCCGCTGCCGTGAGCTGGCGAGTGCGGATGGCGCTGGGGCAGCGAGCATCGGCCGTGGATATGGTCGAGGAAGAGGCACAGGACGAGGGGGAAGAAGGTTTGGTGGCAGCAACTTCGGCGGAGGCCGCGGGAGTGGCGGTTACGGCAGCGACGACAAGAGCTACGGACGCGGTCGCGGCCGATTCGACGGCGAATGCCATTATTGCCACAAGAGCGGACATATGTGGCGCGATTGCTACAAGCTCCCTGATGGTTGGACCCTTGCTCAAGGCCAGGAGGGTAGAGGAGCAGGAGGAGGGAGAGGAAGAGGCCGTGGAGGCCGTGGCGGTCGCGGTGGCGGAGCTGCAAACATGACGAGCGGAGACAATGACAAGGACTCGAGCAACGATCGGTACCTGGGGCTATTCTACTTCGTGTTGACGCAAATACCGACTGGTCCAGAGAAGGATGAAGGCTTTGAGGAGCCAGCAGCTGTGGGGAAGGTGACCCTACACCCTCTGGACTTTTGGGTGATCGATAGTGGCGCTACCTATAGCATGACACCTCGCCCGGACTTGCTCACCGAACTCGAACCGTCACCGGTGAAGCATGTCACATCGGCTTTGGGGCAGCGGGCGGAGGTGAAAGGCATGGGCAAGGCCATGTTTAAGGGTGCTGATAGGAAGATGGTGGGCCTCAAGAATGTGCCTTGGGTGCCCAGCCTTGCTGCCAACCTGATTTCCGTGCGGCGGTTGGCAAAGGCCGGCATGGACACGAACTCAAAGGGAGCCAAGACCTAAACCGCAAGGCTTGGCGATTGGATTCTTTGGGACCTTCATGAGGACAGAGATGTCTACAACGAGATGTGGCAGATCCCTGTGGTCACAATGCCTAAGGA